GGGGGAAGGAGCTTTGGGGGCAGCCTCTCCTCCACCCTCGCAGGGTAGAGGCGGCCTGATGGGCTGCAGGCACGCACAGCGGCTGGGAACAGCTCGTCCTGCGAGCGCTGGTTCTTGGTGTTTTCTGAGGCTTCTGATGGAGGAGCTGCAAAAAGGTTTCCCAGCCTCTTTTGCACGGCAGTCTGGGAGAGCTGGGCTTCTGGCAGAGGGGTCCCTGCCCACCCCAGGCCTTTGCTGTGACATGAGCGAGGCACAACCGATGTGCAGAGGAGGCCAGCGTGGTCCTACGGGCTATGGCACAGCACGGTGCACAGCCTCGGCCACCCCCCACAACGCACAGGCAGGGCTCGTTTGCTGTGTGAAGGGGATTCGTAAGAGCCAGAGGGCCTGAGACGGTCCTGAGCTGGTCCCGGTGCCAGTCTGGGAGCCAGAGCCAGGCTGGCCTTTCGGACCGAAGCCAGCAGTAGTCCTAAAGCCCTCAGAGCCAGCGAGCAGCAAGGTGACTCTTTTGGGAGGTGCAAGCCTTTGCTTCACGTCCTTCCTCTGCCAGCTTGGAGCAGGCACTTGAAGTCTTCCAGGAGAGAGCCCTGGCCACTGTAGGGCCATCCTGTGGGCCATCCTGTAAGCCACCCCCTAGGCTATGTTACGGTCTGTCCTGAAGGCTACCCACTAGGCTATTTTGCAGTCTATCCCATAGACCATCCTGTAAACTCTCCTGGACACTAGTCCCCCAGGCTACCCCATAGACTGTCCCCATGGCTACTCTGAGGTGGGCGCAGCCTCTCCCACTGCAACAGCCCTTCCACATCACCCCCACTGCTTCTGTACATCAGTCAGGACTTCTGTAACCGAGTACTTCATACCCTGCTCTGTGAAGCATTGCCTTAACCCCGTTTTACCATGGTTCACTCCTGAGTGACTTGATTGACCTTGACAAGCAGCAGGTACCTGAGGAAGATGGCCATGACGACAAAATTGCAGTCATTTAGAAAGAGGAAGCAAGAGCACTCACACTGGGAGATGCACAGGGAGCCTTTGGTCTTGCAGAGGAGGAGGCTGAGATCTACCCCACTGATGACCTGCTCCAAGAGTGGTCAGATGAGGTCACTTGGTGGATTGCAGGATTTGCTCACACAACATTGAGACATATAATGATGCGAAAGTCACACTGGTGAGCATCCACCTTTTGATTTCTATTTAAAAAAGCAACCAGCTTCTCCAGCCAGCAAAAAGACAGGCTCATAAATCCAAGTGATGATCCTGTTCCCCCCTCTCCATCCCCCTTGACATATCTATTGTCCCTGTGTATTTAAATTCTGTTTCTTAAGCTCCAGTATGCACACACTCTCCCCCCCCCC